TTGATGCTATGGTCTGCCTTCTCCCCTTGGTGAAACGAAAAGGAAATAGTCAAAGTATAAACATGGGCAAACCAGAGCTCAGAGAAATAAACAAAATTTCTGCAATAGAATCAACAGAGGAAATAGGGATGGAACTTTAATCACATATCCCCCCGTTCAGTGAACATTATGCAAAATGTCATCTGCTTATCTAGAGGAAAAAACAAAACAATAAACTGAAAATAGACAAGAATCTAGCTAACATTTATTGGCTGATTTGTATTTGCCTGCTACTGTAGCAAACGCTTTAGCTACAAACTCATTCAATCCTCACAAGGAACTTCTGATGTGTGTATTATTATTCTTCCTCTACAGAAGAGGAAATGTGCTTAATAGCAGTTTGAAAGCCTAATTCAACACAGGTGCCACCTGACAAAATGGGATTTAACCTCAGCTCCCTGACATCAAATCTAACTTCTAAACTTTCTCACAAAAAGAACTGTGTTCCTATCTCCAGGTTTTCTGCAATAAACTAAGACAGAAAAAAAAAATGATCCAGGTACACGGTTCCACTATACAAAGATTAACTTCCTTCCATTTAAGCCCTCAACGAGTGACTTCACTATCCTTCCAAGACAAAATCAGTCATGAGTGGGAGGCAAGAGTCCGTGTATGTACAGGAGAAGTACTCGAATCAGTACTCAAATCAGGAAGGTGGGTTTCAGCGTTGTGTTCTCTTTTTCCATCACCTTCTTCCCTATACACAGTCAGTTACTAACCCTATCAATTTGAGTTCTTTGGAGTTTCTCACTCTCATTACATATTTCTTCAAACTTGCTTCCACTCTAACTCAGACCACCATTGTTTCCTGCTTGGTCTATGGCAAAAGTCTCCTTAACTGCTCTTCCCATACTCCTTTGAACCACTCCCCACAAGTAACCAGAATGACTGATATTTCTAAAATGTACATATATATTTGCTTACAGGGAAGCACCCTTGCCTATGGTAGAAGATCTATGTTTTATATGACGTGCAAATCTCCTGACCAAGTTCCTGTATTCTCCCCAGCATACTGGAAATTCTGACCATGCTGTAAGATGCACAGTGCCTGGAGCACACAGTGCTCACACCTAGAGCTCACCACATACCATTTCCTAGGCATGGAATACTCTCTACCCTTCTGGCTACTCACAGTTCTTCCCACTCCTAGTTCAGATACCCCTTCTTTTGAGTAGACTTCACTGATAATTCAAGACGGGGTGAGCTGCCCACTTAGGCTCCTTCTTTCCCACATCACTTGCCACCTCATGCTACAACTACCAGCTCACTCGTCCATCCTCCCCACCATACTACGAGCAACCTAGAGAAGGGTTCAGCCTCCTTTTCCTTTATCACCCTGCACCCTCCCCAGTACAGGGTATACAGAAGACTTCAAGGAATATCTGTGCAATGAAGGAAGATTGAGATAGAAAAGGGGGAGAAGAAGAAGGGCTAGAGATGAAGGAGGAGAAAGGGGTAAAATGGGAGAAAAGAGAAGAGAAAGAGAGAAGGGAGAAAGGAGAAGAAGAAAAAGAAAGAAGAAAGGGAGGAAGAGAGATAAGAAGGGGGAAGGAAGGAAAGGAGAGCGTATAAAGTTAGAGAAGAATGGAGACTATTCACAGAAGACCCCGAATGAAATGTCTGGGAAGGCTGTAGACACCAGTCCCTTAGTGATTAGCCAGTCTCTGCAGTTACACACACAGTCAGGGAGCTCTGATGTTAAAGAAAAGAAAGTCTATAAAGGTCCTTAGAAACAACCGAGTTCAACTTTACCTTACAGTTGAGGAAACAGCTCAAGACAAGGTGTCGAGTTGCTTAATCAAAGACAGTTACTATGGGTTCAGATGCAGCTATAGACCTGAATGATCTCAAAACCCAAGTTTTCTTCACCATCTCAGTCTTCCCAGAGACCGAATTGAATCAATAATGACAAACGCGGGGTGGTAGCTCAGAGACTTTGGACCCAATTCAGGGCTATACACGCTGCAATTGGTTGCACTTTTTCTTTTTTCCTGACATTTTTACCTAAGGCAAAGAACTTTGTGTGAAGCAGGTTTACAACGTTAAGACAAAAATAACACTGGAGCTCTTTCTGCCTCTTGCTTAGTGTCACGCTGACAAGCCTGGAGTTTTCCCTTACTCTGCTCTTGGGCCACGGAGTTCCCTTCTCTGAAAGGCATTTCTACCTTTGCAAATCCCATGCATCCTTTTAAGGTAATGCTTTGCTCAAGTCTTTTCTTCAATGAGACCTGCTTCAATGTACCTTACTCATTTCTTTCTCAAAATACAAATTGACCTATGCCTTTTATTATTCAGGGTGTCCCAAAAGGCACCATTCAAAGGGAACACTGGAAATTGTAGCTAAATGTACATTTATTTATAAAATATTCCCCACATGTTGGCCAGCTCTTTCTGAACACACGGGGACTCTTCCCTCCCACTCATGACAAAGGTGTTTCAAGCTATCTGTTATTACGAAGCTTTTCCTCTGGATGGAGACTTTTGGGACACCATGCAGTTCCATGTGTATCTTTTTTCCCCTCATTACAGCTACGCTTCCAGAAGGCATTCCTGCTTTCTCTTTGCCCCCACCCCACCTAGGAGAGTGAGCATGCTACTGTTTGTAGAGCATATATTTTATATTCCTTTTATGCTGAACTCTGAGGAACAGAGCCCGTCTTCCCATACTCCTTTGAACCACTCCCCACAAGTAACCAGAATGACTGATATTTCTAAAATGTACATATATATTTGCTTACAGGGAAGCACCCTTGCCTATGGTAGAAGATCTATGTTTTACATGACATGCAAATCTCCTGCCTATGTCATCCTAAACATAACGAAGTTGGAAACTTAAAATATTCCTTCTTGTTTAAATTCTCCATGGGTATGCTTTTAAAGAAATACGTTTTTGTACCACCATTTGTCTGACAACTTTCACAAGTGAGCCATTATATGGACCGTAAGGTGATATATAAGTGGGGAAGGGGCAAGGAAGGAGAACGTGGAATTTCGCTAGTGAGCATCAGAACCTTCTAGGACGACTTTGTATCCCGGCCAATTTGAAGTGGCAGTTACCATGGGCGATTCCTCTCCCTTTAAAGAAATTGAGAAATAAAGAGATTGCTGAACGAAGAGGGGACCTGCTTTGTCATGGGGTTCCTCTCACAATATAGAGCTTTCCTGGGGGCTCTTCTATAAACGTGTACACTGCAGATGTAGGAAATGATAAAGAAGCTTAGAAATACTAACTCTTGTCCAAGATTAGCGAGAACTCACTTGGGGTGAATCACCTGAACTGCCCCTTCCATTCGTTATTAACCAGACATATTCTTGCCCAGGACAGACGGCAAATTGGCTGGATGTACTAAAATACAAGAAGGCACTGTCAATGCCAGGCTCCATATCTCTTTCTCTCTCTCTCTCTGCAAGGTTGGACCCTTTCTGAAACTCTATTTCTTATCAAGTGAAGTCAGCAATGATAGTAGCTTAAGCAGAATGACTTTGAAATTGTTTTAGAAAATATTTTAACAATGCCTTTAGATGGGATTTTGTGGGGTTTTCTAACATTTTTAAAAACATAATTTGAAGTATTCTGAAGTCCAACATATTTCGGTGTTAATCCCCTACCACTGGCAGGATAGATAACGGCAAACTAATGGCAGCAGCAGGTTTCATCTGAACATTTCCCTGAGCATCGTTCAAAGGGGTTTTTTTTTTTAATTTTTTTCTTTAGAACTCATGGCCAGATAAAAATGCATCAGTAGACTCAGCTATTGCAGACATCCTTTACAGTAGTTCCATTCTATCACAATTTTTAGAAATGTAAATTTTCTAGCACTAATGAGATATTTGTGACTCCATTGGTTTTGAAACGCAGTGTAGGAGTCAGAGGAAAATCCAAAGAAAAAGTAAACAGCAAAAATAATGCATGGCCAAATAGGGAGCTTATTGCTCTCCATTTCTCAGTCTAACTTGAGAATCTAATAAAGAAAATTAGAAGAAAAATGTATCAACTCACTCTGTGTATTTTTCCTAAACTTCATACAGCTGACACAAGGAGAGCATTTATTAGGGTAAATTGTTTCCTTCAGTATATACGTAAAAGAGCAGATGGTGTTGCTGTGTATTCTCTGTTTAGGCTCCTGAGATATTATTTCTTTTTCTCACCTACACCTTCCTAAAACTCACTAATGAACAGCAGCTGATTCTGAAGATTTGATTTTTTTTTTTCCACTCTGGCCACAGAAAATGGTTTTGAACTTCAAAATTACTTCTTTCTGCTTCTCCAGTGAGAAAATAAAATCCTCAAATGTGAACCCACTCCCTCATCTCTGCAAAACAGTTCCCAAGAGCCACTGACTTTGACGAGAGGATTTCTCACATTCATGTCTATCCTCTTTACTTTGGGATTCACTGAAAAGATTCTTTCTCCCTCAGGATAGTTATTTCTGCTTGGAAATTCATTAAGATAACATTTTTCGACTGCATACAAATTGGGGGAGTTCGACAGGCGTAGCATCTGATTCGTCAGTGTCTTAGGCTATGACTCCTTGAGAAAGTCCATCTCGCTCCTCTGAACGCTGTCACCAAGTTAACAATTTTATCCTTCAAGGAAAGGGAGTTACTGAAATTGTATTCGATTTGGTATACAGAGCAATGGAAGAGCTGGGTTTCTGAAGGTCACAGGGGCAGGGATTTTTTAATCACCTTCCTGTGTAAATTTATCCTTACGGAAAATGGAAGAACTATTCAGTCACCTGGTGTGTGGAATGGGATGGGAACAGGACCTACCTCGTAAGTGAACTATGAGGATTAAATGAGATGATAATGTGAAGCCTCAATAGTCGTCAGTCAGTCCTCGTTGCCTCGTTTTGCTATTATTAGTTTTAATACACAAACTGAGTTTCGTACACAACAGCGGTCATTTAGACAAAATTTGGTAAGGCTTGGGGCAGAAAGAGAAGTTGCTGACTCCTTACCTCCAGGGAATCATCGGCATTCACCATCCAGCAGTCTGTCCAGGTGGCCACGATCAAAAACCCAGCGGAGAAAAGGGCAAAGAAGCAGGCGACATACTGAAGAAGGTCCCTCATGGTGGCGAGGAGCCAGTCTGGAAGCCACATGGGCAGACGTCACCCGGCCCGCTCGGGGAGCTGGAACGCAGCTGGCCTTCTGCGTTTCTGGCACCTGGGGATGTGAAATACTAGTGGGTGGTTTTTTTCTTTTTTTTTTTTTTTTCACTTTTTCTCACACACCCCTGCAGGCATCTTAAGTTGCAGTGAGAATGGTATAAACAGGCTGTAACCAACACTGGGGTCCTGGAGGTCATTATCCCAAGCAACCAACCTCCAATCAGAAGCCAGGTCAGTCAAAGGCCTGGCTCCCTTCTGGGCGCGGAAGAGGAGCAGCCCTGGTAATATTTTCTACCCCAACAGTGAGCTGATCCAAGATGATGGTGACCAGAGGCACACGCCACCCCCCAGGTGGAGGGAAGGAGGGAGGGGAGGGAGGGGAGGGAGGGGAGGGAGGGTCCCCACCCCCCATGCTGGGACCTGTAAACTGATCTCTCTGAGGCCCTCTAGGGAAAGCGAGCTGTTCCCCTCCCTGTCTGAAAAAAGCTACACGGTTGACTGCGTGTTATTTTATTGTTAGGACTATTTTAATATTCGCTGATTACCTGAGACAGACAGGCCACTGGTGAAACTAGGCTAAATAAGGGCCTGCTCAAGGGAGTTTGCATTCCAGAGCGCTGGGCAAAATAGACCCAAGAAGGATTTCAGACTTGAGCGGCAGGTGCAGCCAAGGCTGCGAACCTTTCAGCATCGGCGAATGGAAACAGGTGTGCATTTTAACCCAGTCTGCTCTAGATGCAAATGCTCGCTCTGCAGATTATAGAATGAGAGTTCTTGGGGCGTAGTTTCTGAAAACGCCAGAATTAATACCTGGTTCATAAGAGGTCTGTGAAGATTAAAGGATATTGTGCCTGTAAATTATTTAGAATGGTGTCTAAAGGGAAAGTATTATATACCACTTACTCTATTAATATAGTGAATATTGTAGCCAAATGGTGGATATTAATATGACCAAGAATATCGTATGCAACCAATATTTGAAAATGTATCCAATAAAAAAACCTGTTTATGTAAGGAAAACTGGTGGGTTTTTTTTAGTTTTGTTTTTTTTTTTTTTTTTTTTTTTTTTTTTTTGCAGTTTTTGGCCAGGGCTTGGTTTGAACCTGCCACTTCTGGTATATGGGGCCGAAGACCTACTACTCCCTTGAGCCACAGGCACCTCCAAGCACATACATCACTATTTTATCATCACCAGATAGATTTCCTTATATTAAAATAAAATGTTTGAATGAATGGCCAAAAAGTTTTTTGATATGATTCTGAATGTAAGACAGAGAACGAGAAGGGAGAAGAAACAGTAGGAGAAGGAGAGAGGAAGAGAAACAGAGAGAGAGAAGCACAAACATGGATTAGAAATAGGCCATTACTCTGGACGGAACCAGCTACAATGATAATTATTTTAGCAACAGCTCATAAAGGATTTTTTTCTGTTTAATTATCATTTGGTCATAGTATTTAGTATAAAAGGATAAAATCAGTATTGTTACAGCATTTTCAAGAATACATTAAAAGAATGCACTTCTGTGACAGCTTTGTTATTTCAAACTTTAATTCATTTTTATTCAAGTATATAAATTGTAAATTTGAAAGTGAAAGCTGGGTGAAACGCCATATAGAGAATACAAGCTCAATTACTGCAAAGCCTAGCTCCTACCGCAACCTTCTGTAATCCACGGTTTCGCTTTTTTAGGTTTCGGTTACTCATAGACAAATGCAATTGAAAAAATAGCACTTGGAAAATTTCAGAAATAAACAATTCATTAGCTGTACATCTTCACTATTCTGAGTAGCACGATGAACTCTCAAGCCATCCCGCTCTGTCCTGCCCAGGGACGTGAATGGTCCCCTTGTCCACCATATGCACACAATACACCACTGGTCCCATAGCAGCCGTCCTGTTGTCAGATCTGCTATATAGATTGTCTATAGAGTCCGATACCATCTGTGGTTTCAGGCATCCACGGGGAGTCTTGGAAGGTATCCCCTAGGACAAGGGACACTACTCTACACATCAACATTAGTTACCGTGTGTGTGTCGGGTTCATTTGATTTATTTTGCTTGACTTTTATTACAGATGCCCTCCTCTCATTGTTTTATTTTATTTATTTTTATGAAAAAATAATACATATTGTTTAAAATTCTCAAAGAATGTAACCACCCTTGGCATATATATACACATACGCTGCTTTGATGAGTCAGGAATGAATCTTTCCCTGTGCCCTAAAATCTAAAATGCTAACACTTTATTGACCTGGGAGAGCAAACCAATTCCAAAAGCACATGCCCATTATAGGAAAATTCCTGAATTTAGCTGCTAGGTTTCCACCCAGAGGCCTTTCACAATGTACTTTTCCGGCCAACGTGCACCCAAGGGCTGTGTAACGTGAACATAACTGGATTCTCCAAAGCTGCTTGTTATAAATACAAGCCTAGGAAGGGGTTTCACCCTCAGAGATTAAGATTCAGGAAATTGGGGGTAAAGGCCAGGAGTTCATATTTTATATTTTTTTTAAATAAAATTCTGATTCAGAGACAGATAGCTATGCTTTGAGAAACTGGTTCTAAGCAGGAAAAGAAAACTAGCATAAAATGTCAGCATCCTATTTTCTAGAATAATATATGGCAAATTATAGACAAAGCTATAGAAAAGGGGATGTCACAATTGAATCTTTGGTACAAGTCAAGCCAAGTT